TATGCACCAAATGAGGGGAAGGCGGAATTCTTTAGGAAGTTGCATGAGACTTTAATGGACTATCTGGACTTCAAAATCATAATGATGGGAGACATGAATGGTGTTGTCTCCACTAACATGGACAAGGCGCAGAGACAGACAATCTCCAACGATGGAAGACTTCCAAAGACTTTTTTTGAAATGACTGAAACACTGGACTTGATTGATATTTGGAGAGTAAGGAACCCTCTAGAAAGAGAGGGAACTTTCTTCTCTGAAGCAAAAATGACCTGGACACGGATTGACCAAATTTGGGTAACTAGTTCTATGGCACCTAAGATAAAAAAAGCAGAAATCTGCCCAAAAACTTGCTCCGACCATAACGCAGTGAAGATAGAGATGAAACTAACAACAACTGGAACCTTCAGATGGAGGATGAATGACGCCCTATTTAGAGATGAAGAGATTTACAAAAAGGCCCAAAAAGCAGTGAAAGATTACTTTGAGATAAATTTGAGAACTGATGTGGAAAAAAGAACAATTTGGGACGCAAGTAAGGCCGTGATGCGAGGTTTCCTAATACAACAAAACTCCATAAAGAGGAAAAAACAGAATGAGAGAAAAGAAAAACTTCTGGAGAAGATAAAAGAAGCTGAAAAGAAATTGAGGTCTAAACCAAAGTCTCATGAGATTCTAAGAGAAATAAAGTATTATCAGACACAATACATGGAACTGACGAACCAAGAGATAGAATGGAAGATAAACCAAATGAGACAAAGAACATTTGAATCAGCAGACAAATGTGGGAAACTTCTGTCATGGCAACTGAAAAAGAGACAAAAATTGAACACTGTGACAAGTTTGGAAATGGAAGGAAAAATTATCCACAAACCAAATGAGATAAATAATTGCTTCCAAAGCTTTTTCAAGAAATTATATGCACAGGGGCCGGCAAATGAGCAGGAAATAGAAGAATTTATTAAAAAGCACGGATTACCAAAGATTTCAGAACAAAGTAAAAGGATTTTGAATGAAAAAATAACAGGACAAGAAATAGAGGACGCCATTCAGAAGATGAAATTGGGAAAATCTCCAGGCCCAGATGGTTTGACTGCCAGATACTATAAGGCATTGAAGGAATGGATAATACAACCATTGAAGGATGTCTGTAATGAAATTTTGGAAGGGAAAAAGGCACCTGAATCGTGGAAAGGAAGCTTTTGTTTCACTTGTACCGAAAACAGAGACTGAAAAGAATCAGGTTAAAAACTACCGCCCTATATCATTACTCAATGTGGATTATAAAATTTTTGCAGACATTTTAGCAAAGAGATTAAAGAGAGTTTTGGTACAGGAGATTCATAAGGACCAAACAGGCTTTCTCCCAGGGAGACATATGTCAGACAATGTAAGGAACATTATAGACATCTTAGAGTTGTTGGAAGTAAAGATTAACAGAAAAGCAGTTATAATTTTTGTAGACGCGGAGAAAGCCTTTGACAACATTTCTTGGACCTTTATGAAGAAGAATCTCCAAGGGATGGGGGTAGGCCAAAGTTTTGAAAACGGTATAGGTGCTATATACTCTAAGCAAAAAGCAAAGTTGATTGTTAACAATGTGGTAACAGAAGAGATTCCTATAGAAAAAGGTACACGACAGGGATGCCCACTATCACCCTTACTTTTTATAACAGTCCTGGAGGTTTTGCTGAATAGGATTAGAGGGGACCAATTGATTAAAGGTGTCCAGCTCGGAGCAAAAGACTATAAGTTAAGGGCATTCGCAGACGATCTGGTATTGACTTTGCAAGAGCCAGAGACTAGTACCAAAAGAGTTCTAGAATTAATTGAGAAATTTGGTCAAGTAGCAGGATTTAAATTGAACATGCAAAAAACTAAGGTTTTGGAGAAAAATCTAACAATGGCAGAAAAAGAGAAGTTTCAGAACGAAACAGGTTTAACAATAACAAAAAAGGTGAAATATCTGGGGGTAAATTTGACTTCTAAAAATTTAAATCTATTTAAAGACAATTATGAAAAATGTTGGTCAGAGGTGAAGAAAGACCTAGAAATATGGTCAAGGTTGAAACTTTCCTTGTTAGGCCGAATTGCTGTCATCAAGATGAATGTATTGCCTAGAATGTTGTTTTTGTTCCAGACACTCCAGATCTTGGACAAGATGGACTGTTTCAAGAGGTGGCAAAAAGACATATCAAAATTTGTCTGGCAGGGCAAAAAGCCCAGAATAAAATTTAAAATCTTAACTGATGCAAAAGACAGAGGGGGTTTTGCCCTGCCGGACCTGAGACTATATTATGAATCGGCAGCTTTTTGCTGGCTGAAACAATGGCTACTTCTTGAGAATACAGACATTTTGGATCTGGAAGGTTATGACAATAGATTTGGTTGGCATGCATATATATGGTATGACAAGGTAAAATTGCATAAAGGCTTTAAAAACCATATTGTGAGGAAAGCGCTGTATAATGTTTGGATAAGATACAAAGATTTGTTGGAAAGTAAAACCCCCAGGTGGTTATCACCAATGGAGGCCAAGGAGACAAAAAAACTAAATATGGAGCCCAAATGGCTAAAATATTGTGAAATTATAGAACAAGATGGTGAAAGAGTTAAATTGCAGAGTTTTGATAAATTAAAGTCTAAGATACGAGACTGGTTGCACTACCGTCAGATAAATGAGGTATTTAAACAGGACAGGAAAATAGGTTTCCAGATGGAGAGGTCGAAACTAGAAACAGAACTGTTAGAACCCAATACTAAGAACTTGTCGAGAATGTATAATTTGCTGCTGAAGTGGAATACACAAGATGAAGTAGTAAAATCAGCCATGATCAAATGGGCACAAGACATAGGTCATGACATAATGTTTGATGACTGGGAACAGTTATGGAATACAGGTATTAAGTTTACAGCTTGTAATGCATTAAGAGAGAATATAATGAAAATGATCTATAGGTGGTACATGACCCCAGTCAAACTTGCAAAAATTTACCATTTGCCCAGTAATAAATGTTGGAAATGTAATGAGATTGAAGGTACCTTTTATCACCTTTGGTGGACCTGCCCGAAGGTAAAGGCCTACTGGGAAATGATCTATAATGAAATTAAAAAGGTCCTTAAATGGACATTTTTGAAAAAGCCAGAGGCCTTTCTCTTGGGTATGGTGGGCCAATTGGTGCCAAGGAAGGACAAAAACTTTTTTATGTATGCTACCACAGCGGCGAGAATTCTTCTGGCAAAGTATTGGAAGACGCAGCAGCTACCTACTCTGGAAGAATGGCAAGCGAAGGTGACTGAGTATATGGGTATGGCAGAGATGACCGGCAGAATCCGCGACCAGGGGAGAGAAACGGTGGAAGAAGACTGGAAGAAATTTAAAAAATATCTTAAAGACTGTTGTAAAATTGATGATGGCTGAGATGTCATGGTTATAAGAAATAGAGAATTGCAGCTGTAAATCTTAATTTTAGGAAAAATGTATAATGAATATGACTGAACAAATTGAAACGAAGGGTTGCTGAGAAAAGGTTAATATAAGGATGCAGAAAAAGGGAGGTATGGGGAAGTCCGGGAAAGAAGGTTTATGAAAATAAGTTTAAGAAATTATACATGTTATTGTTATAGTATGTCTTGGAATATGTTTTGTTTTCGTTATTTGTTTTATTGTATGTTTGGAGAAGATTAGATGAAGAAATTTTTGCCAAAAAAAAAATAAAAAAAGTAGAATCATGTTTTGATACTTGTAAAATCAGTGTTTGGGTTGGCTTTTAAAAAGAATGAGAACTTATGAGTTTAAGAGTGCTGCAAAAAGAAATAAGAGAAGGCAAGGTTATCTGAAGTGGCAACTCTTGCTTGAGCAGCAATCTGTTTCTCCCTAAAACGAAGCACTTGTGTTCAGTTACCAAAAACAAACACTAGTCCTATATTCCCAAAAACCTTAGAAGTGTACTTACTCAAAAATATTCAAACAGTTTTGAGCAGGACCAATGTTAAAAAAAGATTAGCTATTTAAATAATTCCTTGGGGAAACAAATGCATATTTTTTTTCATAATACAGGGGCCTAATCACAATCATTCTTAATAATTTCAACCCAAGTCTCAAACATTCAGAATGCAGATAGACTTATGGTGTGTCAGAGCAGGACCAGGAGGAGCGATTTTTTGATTTATTAACCTAAAGTTTTGGCACACTGTAGTGTAATAAAGAGCACTGCTTAAAAGTTAAACCTGAAATGGGGCTGTAGTAACAGCCTGGTCATAAAGCTAAAGGTTCTGGCACAATTAATGGAAGAATGTGAGAAGTCTCCAATAAGATCACAAAAATCTCCAAGCAATGTAAGTAGTGGAAGGGTATCCAATGTGTAACTGCCATTATTACTATGACGTAGAATTAAACTGAGAATGCCTGAGGAATAATTCCACCCAAGCACATTCATCAAAGTTAGGCTGACAGTCTTCAAGAACAAAAAAACAAAACAAAACAGACTAGTACATGGGAAATTACACTTATGCAAGTTACCTCTATCTATCTATATGCTGGTTCACACATAAAAAATCACCATTGATGACATGCACATATATAATATAAAAACAGATCACTAAAGGCACAACTTTCTTCAACCAAGTCTAACGCAAAACTTTTCAGTGGCGTTTGTTCACCCCATCAGGTTCACACATGCATGCATAACATCTTTATTCTGAAAAACTTGGCAGAGTCACAAGAAACGATGAGAATTGAAAGACAGCATATTTGCTATGCTTGATCTTTTAGCCAACCTTTTCGAGCCTCTCTGTAATCACCAGGTTAGCAAAACATTAATATTGGGTGTTAAAAATGCTGTTTAAAAATGAAGATTCTAACCCCTAACAGTGCAGTAAAAGCTCTATGAGGCAATTCCAGCAAGTTAAGCTTCACAAAGCATGCCATGTTATGGAATTTTCAACATATTTTTGTTAAGTGATGAATGCTTTCCATTTCCTAAGACTTCATTTCGTATTACGTTCAAGAAACAGGCCTCCAACATCTAGGGCTTACTTACATTTCCGAGGTGGTGGGTGTGTTCATATTCCATGTGTGCTCTGGACAGGGAGTTAGTGTGCCTTGGATAAACAACAGTTCCTCCATTTACAGCACCATTCATGATTCCATTCGTTCCATTAGGAACCTTGTGATGGAGATGAAGGCAACCATTATTATGGTTTCCATTACTGATAAAGTTTCCATGTATGCTGCCATTGATACGACTTGTGCCTGGTAATGTCGTGTACTCAACCATTTGCCCATTGATATCAGCACGTTGGTAAAGGTAACCAGGAGGGTCATACTCTGAAGAGTGAGGATTGGGAGAAAATGCTTAACACTTCAACGCTTACACATGTTTTTTATCTGAAAAGGTTACAGATGAAAACGTTTTATAGCTGGCTGTTCACGGTAGAGTTTACACCCCTAGCACTACAATGCCTTAAGCCCTTTACAAATTATAAAACATGTTACAATCTGACGAACAGAGTTTAGATAGCAGGTGACCACCACTGATAATTAAGGGGCTAACACAGATTACATGTTTTGCATATTTACCACTGTTTGGGGAATCTGACAGCTTTTGTGGCATAAACACACTTATTTTATTGCACCAGCACTATTCTTAACAATGCAATATAGATTGTTCTGTCAGATCTACAGTTATAAGAGCCAAGTAAAATTGCTATTATTATTATATTTATTTATATCCCACATTTCCCCAGACCAAAACACAATTGCTATACCTTATGAACATTTAGAACACCAAAAATGTAGGAACAGGAAGCATGTCCTTTTCCCAGCAGAAGATTTCAAAGAAGAGTGTAACTATGTATATTGGCCAATAACGACAGTATATCTACCAATATCCTCTGAAAGTGAAAATATAAAGTTCTCCTAGAATACATTTCTATTGCTAAATTGGAGTGGAAAGTGAAGGCACAGAGTTAGGCTCTAATCTCTATGTTTCATAAGAAGAATAAAGCACTTTTTCAAATTTGTTCCCCTCCGTTATTCAGCGGTGATCATAACAGCAACTTAAATTCACAATAAATGTTGTGGTGTTAGGTTACTTAGCAACAATATTGTTTCATTAAGTTTGGTCCAGCAGAGGACATGAAGAATATCAGAATTAACCTACTCTGCATGGCAATTTGCTGGCGATTCTTCCACAAGCACATAGCAATGAAGGCTATCAGAATGAGCACCATCACTCCAAGGACACAGCCCACAATCAGGTATAACATGTCACTGCTTCGGACGGGACCATTTGGTTGACCAGCATTACTCCCAACTCCACGATCAGGAGAATTTGGTGGTGTGCTAAGGTCCTTCACTGGGTATTCTGATGCTCCAGGTGTGCGCTTCACTAATGTGGAGGGAGAGAGTATAAGATAAAACACACATTTAAAATAGCAAGTCTACAGAAGTGTTATTAATTCTATAAGTCAATCAAGAGCTGCAACTACTGCAATTCAAAATGGCATAAAATATGATGGTAGAACATTTTTGATCATAAGTTACTTGATAATATGTATTTGTTTTGGAATTTGTTTACCCTCAAGTCCACACGTGCCACTGCTTTAGCTTCTTTCACACTTTCACACATAGGAATAATGAACATTACCAGAATGTAAAGGGCATGTAAAGTAGTTGACAAAAAAAGATAATGGGCCCATTTTTGTTGTCAAATATCAATGCTTATGGATGGTTTGAAATGAAAACACACCAATATATTCTGGGACAGGTGTGCGTAAAATTTATTAAAGATCCTTCTTCTACCCTTACTAGTATCCCAAAAATTTATATTTTAAAACTGATCATAGTTTCAAACATAAGTTTGCTTTAAAAGAAATAAATTATTTATTGAACAAGGGTATTGGGTAGCTGATGATAAATCCTACGTGTCTTTCTGAACCCAGAAACTGAAGCCGTCTTTTTGTTTACAGCAATAACAAGCAAGAGCATTAGCTTGAGATAAAGTATGGGATAGCACAGTTTTATGCATTGAATGAGAAGTTCTCTCAAGCACGGAGGTTTGGTTTTGATGGTAGCATGTGATTTCTAAAAGCCCATATTGGATTACATATAGTGTGCTGAAATGGAATATTTATTTTCATGAAGTCAAGAAACTAACTAAAACATCTGAAATATTGTGAAAAATATTTGAAAAGAAATGAATTCTTACATAAGTATGAAGATTAAGGTAAAGGTAAAGGTACCCCTGACCGTTAGGTCCAGTCGCGGATGACTCGGGTTGCACGCGCATCTCGCTCTATAGGCCTAGGGAACCGGCGTTTGTGTTCCGTCGTGGCCAGCATAACTAAGCTGCTTCTGGCGAACCAGAGCAGCGCATGGAAACGCCATTTACCTTCCTGCCGGAGCGGTACCCTACTTGCACGTTGACGTGCTTCCAACTGCTAGTTGAGGGGGGGGAGCTGGAACCGAACAATGGGAGCTTACCCCATTGCAGGGATTCGAACCACTGACCTTCTGATCGGCAAGCCCTAGGCTCTGTGGTTTGGACCACAGTGCCACCCGGGTCCCAAGTATGTAGATTAGGGAACAGCAAATATATGGCTATTGGCTTAGTGACAGAAGAAAAATAACAGCTCCTTCTCACCTTTGGTCTCACAGATCATCACATTGCTGTAGTCACTTTCACCTCCTTCATTGTAGCACTGCATTTTAATATCATAAGATGTTTCAGGTTGCAGGTGACTTATCAAGTGCCACTGCTTTGTGCCTAGAAAGAAAAACATATAGACATGTAGCATGTTTGTTTCACAATTTGGAAAATATAAACTGAGCTAAAAAATGTAGGAACTGTCCTTACAGTTTGAGGACAACAGGTAAAAAATAAATGACCCATTGCAATTAAGAGCTAAGATAGCAGGCCAAAATCAGTCTTACATACACAAATATGCATATAAGAAGAATGTAATTTACTATTAATAAAATGTCTACAACCTTCCTGAACATGTTTGTCTCAAAGATGGAATGTAGCATCTATTTAACATAAAACCCTAAGGGCAAAGTCTGAATCAGACATGTAAATAAAACTGCAATAAGAAATATTTGGCAGAAAGTGGTTGTTTTAAACTTTGGAAGTTGGCCAATACACAGCAGTATGCATGGACAGCTATGGATCACAACATGATATGATCATAGAATGTCTTTCTTAAAGAGACTCATCTAGCCCCATTGTTGATGACCTTCCACCATGCTATTAAGATCTGACTTAAAAAATAAATAAAAATAAAGAATGCAATAGGAGCCTGGTAGAAAGAGACACTGTACTTTTGACTGTAGGTCTTGCTGTTGATACAACTAATCACAATATGATACAAAGAGTAGCATGAATCACCTCCACCTTTGTTATAGCTTAAGCAAGACTAACACCATCTTGTTGCAGGCTGACACCATAATCATGTATTCTCATTGTAATCATGCTGACATGCAAGCTTAAGAGAGGAACAGAGAAAAAGCAAACCATAAGAGGGTGTGTAAAGGGAAGTTTTAGGAGCATGCTAGGCCATGACATTTAAATGGAATAAACAGAAAAATGCCTAGCTAGATGAAATGTGGAAGCATCTGTCTATGCAGTTAAACTGGCGCTATCACACGCAAGATTGTATTACTGGGAGTCTTGCATGTCTAACCTATATGTATAAAAACTGTGTGCAAACAGAGATAAGGGTTCAGCCTCTGATCACTTTTCTGATCACTCGCTGTTACCGTTCCTGTCTTTTTAAAGGCAGAAAAGTGAAGACATCACAAAAAGACTTGAAGCCACTCAATTCTATACTTAAGTCTAAGAACGTACTCCAGAGAACCTGAGGAAAGCGTAAGTAGTTTACTAACAGCATGACTAGCACAAGCTGCAGACAATTTTTATGTACTATGAAAATATATGAAGTAAGAAGGCCTTTGATATTCAGCATTGGAAATTCTAATCCAAACAAGTTCATTTAAGAGAATGGTTTTACTGTGTCTGGCTGAAAGTCAATTTTTCGTTTAGACACCACCTGGTGTTTTCTCTGTACTCATAAATCACTTTCAGTCTGTATGCTCACCCTTATGACAAGTTTTAATAAAGAGGAACCCACTATATTATAATTAAGATGGTTTAGATACGCCTAATGCTTCTTAAATGTCGACATCGTGGTCTATTTCTGCTGGAACTACTTCCACCTAGAACACAGACAGATCTATAAGCTACAGCCTTCACAGGGAAGAATAGTATCAAGATGCTACTGTATTTCAACAGCACCCAAGTAGGGGTGCTATTTACACAATAACCCATTGCTCTTCTTTGCTCCACTTAGAAAGGAGCATCGGTTCAGTTGGTGCTTCCCCTGATCTCCACATACGGTCCGACAAAGGTGAAAATGGGCCTTTATGTGCCCAGAAGCTTCGGCACCACCTGAAACATTGATCAATCACGGATCTCAACTGCATGGAAGGCTCCAGACATGTACACGCACAGATACAGTGGTGCCTCGCAAGACGAAAATAATCCGTTCCACGAGTCTCTTCGTCTAGCGGATTTTTCGTCTTGCGAAGCACGGCTATTAGCAGCTTAGCGCTATTAGCGGTTTAGCGGCTATTAAAGGCTTAGCGACTTAGCGGCTAAAAGGCTATTAGCGGCTTAGAAAAAGGGGGGGAAAGCGAAAAAAATCGCAAGACTCGCAAGACGTTTTCGTCTTGCGAAGCAAGCCCATAGGGAAAATCGTCTTGCGAAGCAACTCAAAAACGGAAAACCCTTTCGTCTAGCGGGTTTTTCGTCTTGCAAGGCATTCGTCTTGCGGGGCACCACTGTACCTAATTTTCACCTTTGCTTCAATGCATAGAGCTTGAGCCAGCCAGTGTAATTCTGCTTCCCCTCAAAATCACACTCCAGGTGTGAATCACATGCATATACAACTATTGTCCCTACTGAAAGACTGAACCGACAAGAGAACAGCACTGTTGTACAATACAGCCTGCCAATATCTGAAAGTCTGTGTGTTTAACTGCTTTGTTGAAGAGCCTTAGAGGTGACTGTTTCAAACAAATCATAGTTCATTTATGTTTGCAGCTTATATCCTCAAAAATGAATACAGGCTGAAGCAGCAGACCAGCTTTTCCCCAGGAACTCAGTTTTCCAAATCTTTCTAAGCTCCATCTTCTCATTACACCTCAAGCATCCTTTTAGTAATTACAGGCTTTAGATTTTCCCTTCAAACGTTTACTAGAACTGGAATCAGTACAATTTTTTAAACTCTGTTCCCATATATTGAAGCAAGGAAAATGTAAGCAACTGTTATCTGAATGCACTTTGAGTTTTTGACACTACCTCCATGAACCAAGTATGGAATGCAAAATTTCAGCACAGGAGACAACAGAAGGTTTGGTGGTGCTTTTGTTGAACAAGCAGAAAGACAGAAAAACTACTGACTATGTAATGAAGAACCAAATGCAAACATCAGGAACTTTAAAAATAAAATCAAGCTAGCATGTGGCAACATATACAGAAAAGGCATCAAAGTTTTGAGACAATCTCAGAAAGACAAGACTGATCATGAAATGAAACCTTGGGCTACTAATGAAGTCACAACCATTGCAAAAACTTTACTACTGAGTGTTTGGAACTGAAAATCCTGTGTCGAAATTTACTTATGAAAGGTACAAAAAATAAAAATAAAAATACAATGCAGCTGCAGTGATCCAAAAGGCATGCACAAGATATTTCTCTCTCTCTATATTTTCCTACATAACTGAGGCTAATTTGAATATTTAAATCAATAAGTAGTTGTGGCTATATAATGTAGTAAAGAAGAGTTTGATGTATAACATTTCTACCACTGTGCAAATTTCTGTTCAAGCTTTGGCACAGCAGAGCAGCTGCTAGTGGTTTCAGGCTTCCACTAAGATTTCAGAACACATAAACCTGAAAATCAGGAACAAGCAAATTTCACAGCACAGCGGAGCTCACTTAAACATTTATAAACACAGATTCTGTGTACCAGAAAGGATACAAGTGAAACACTGAACTTCTTCCAAGTAATAGCTTAACCTCTCAGTTAACTACACTCATTACATAGGTGTTTAGCAGCCATGTAGCATTGTAGAGCAATATTAATATTAGTAATAGTTTCAAACATGGCAAC